TAATTGTTGGCTTTCCTGTGGCATTTCGATCTATGTTATATAATTAGAGTTTGTTCCATTCCCCTCGAAAGGATGGATATAAAGGAAGATTCTTGAAAGCTTTCATGCACTGCACCTGAATATTGTTGTAAATATTTTTAAGAAAAACTTTTATTTACAATATATTGGAAATGTTCAGTAGTGTTTTGGCAAGCATAAGCACAAAATGTTATGTTTTTTCATAAGATTATAGGAATGTCTCTACTAGGTCAGACTCAAAGTTCATCCTGCCCAAAATCTTATCTCTCTTCAACAGCCAAAATCAAAGAAAGAGTGTTTGCCAATTTTCTTTTCAAAGAGTTTTTTTTTATTATTTTTCATTGCTAATTTAGGTTGACATCAACTTAAAGACAGTGAAATTTTCTCAAAAGTTAAGTATTTGGCTTGAAATTTTTGTTTGAGAAAAAAGAGAATTTCACATTTAGAAAAAATTATAACTTTAAAAACTGTCATTTTGATTTCAAAGTTGACAGATATTCTTTTAAAATGAAAACCAGGATAACGGCAAAGAAATGAAGACAAAGGGGAAAAAAAAATGTGTCAGGTTTACTGGACTTAGAAATGCCTATGTTGTAATTCCTATTTTTTACATCTTCGCTTATGTGGAAAGTGATTTTTTTCAGCCAGTTCAACCATATTAGAATAGTGACTGAATATGCCTTTGCAAACCTGGAGAGATGACAGTGAAGCTCATGAAACTTTCTGGGAAAAAAAAAATTACACTCACATAACAAGTCTCCTTATATTTACTCTTACCTCCTTATGTTTACTATTTACATAATCTTTCTGGACTTAACAGATATCACTGCTATGAGTAAATGAAGCTGTTTTAGCTTGAACATCTATCCGCACTTCTTGCAGTGCACAGATTAGTATTGGGTGATTTCTTACTGTTCAAATGAGTATGATAAAGACGATCAGTATTTGCAGGTTTCCAGTAACTTTTAAAGTCAGATCTGTAGTTCACTCATTTGAACAACAGTAAGGAATCATATTCTCTTTTGTGATATGCTCATGTCATATATATGTTTTAAAACATCTCCTAAAAAAAAGTTCATTGATTTTTTCTTCTTTCAGGTTGCTAGTGATGATGGGGGCAAAAGAAAGAGGGTGGGTTTTTTTGTTTTTTTTTTTCCTGTCCAATTCTTGGATAAACGCAGAGGGATGCTATCAAATAGTTTAACTTCGGTTAGAATAAAGGTAAACCAGTGTGAAAAGTGCAAACTGGTGCAAAAAACACTATTTCGAGTGAACCAAATGATTGGCTTTGATAGTTTCCACTGTTTGTGATTAGCATAGTAAGCAGCCGTGTATCCCTTAACAGCTATTTTTTTAGTTACTGCAGTAGTAACAACTTACAAGAAGAGGTTTGTAGGAGAATAATGTAGCAGATTTGGTTAATTTTCTCACAGCTTTGCATAACAAGTAGCATAAAAAGCTGTTCAAAAATTAGAATGGGAAAATTGGAATCAAGGGCAATAGAATCACACTGGACAATGAGAAAAAATTGAGGGTAGTCTCTTGATAGTATGTAAGGAATGATAGATGGTGATGTTATTGATGAGTAGTTTGACCTGGGACAATGTTTTTTTCAGAACAGGGGATAATATTGCATGCTGTTGAAGGACAAGCTGTGCAAATGTCTGTTTTGAGGGACACAGAGAAGGAAGAGACTAGCAAGATGTTGGTGTATCTTGTGGCAGTGAATGAGTAAAAAGCACCTGCAGGTGTTACAGGTGGTAACAGCTAATGGAAATATGTCGATGTGATGAATGTGAAAGATGAAGATTTTGTTGGTTTAGGTATGTTTTAAATTCCATGGTTTTTGAGTCTGCTCAGTCAGTTCTTACTATCAACCCTTTCCCTGACGGCCCTACAAAGTAGCAGTGGTCTACCATTATTGTTATTGTTCACATATTAGTTTGTACATGTAGGATCTCGCACTCAGCTCCTTTCTCATGAATATTTTTTAAATTATTTTTTAATACTTCTTGTAATGGATTCTAAGAACTCAGTATTTCCTGGGGCTCCATTGGTTGCAATAGTTTCATATATGTTTCTGAATTCTTAAACATTCTTTCTTGTAAGTCATGTGTAGGTCCAATTGAAACACACTATTAATGTATTTTCACTTTGTTGCATCTGGTCCTTCAGCATTTTTATTACAAGAACATACAGAAAATTCATTCAGGCTAAACAATATCAGGGCCTTTTTACATTTATACTTTACATGGCTCAGATTAGCAGATACTGTTAGGGAAGGAGGCATCTTGTTTTAAATTTTCTCCACTTCGCTGAATCATCTGGGAGTTTCATCTTCCAATTGCTCTATTGCAAGAATGTAAGAAAGTCACTGGGAAAATGCCCTCGATTCCTTTCTTCTCCCCTTCCATGGCATCTGATATGCATGACTTTTAATCTTTTACTGTAAGGCCTTACATCTGCTTTCAGATGGTCTAACTCCTTTGTGGCAGGTGGGAGCATGGTTCACATTGGTTCACATTGTTTGTGAACTAGGTATCTATTCCGTGGTTGCCTGTAATATTAAGGAGTAGACTCAGTTGCTTGAATGATCCAGTTCCTAAAATGAAATTAGATATGCCAATGAATTACTGGCTTTCTGACTATTTCTTTTTATGATGTGTCTGCAGAGGTGACTGCATGTTCCTTTTTCATTAGGCTGAGGTCTGGTTTAGTAAAATGTTGTTTATACGGTTAAGATTTAGAATGCTGAAATTGAAATTTTTTGCTTTTACGAAAAGGAAAATAAAACCCCATGCATACGACAAGGGATAAAAGATATTTTCATTTATACTATTCTATGATAATTTTAGTAGTATTTATATATTGTTATATATTATGTGTACTATTATTTTATTTAATGATACATATAGGATTAAATTTGCAATATTTGCTTCAGATTCTTCTCAGCTATCATAAAATACTGGCTTGAACATACTGATATAGAAACATTTCCACATATTTAATCTTCATAAATAAGTACTGTGATGCAAATCAAAAGAATACAGTCTTATTTGATATTTGCTGATGTGCTTAAAAAGTTGGGGAGAAGCGTGTGTTTTTTTTCACTTCTGCAAACAAAACATTGGGATTCTTGCTGAATCATATGCAGAAGTATTGGCTGGATGCATTTAACCAAAATATTTGTCTAGCAAAGGGGTGTCATACAGCTGTATTATATCCTGTTTTATCTTTTGTCCTAATACATACTTGGTTAAATATGTGAGGAGTCACTGATACCAATACTGCTGCAGACAGAAAACAGTACTGGAACCTAGCCTTGCATTTGTTAACTTAACACAAGGATTTTTGTCTCCTTTTCCTTACTGTTGCTTCCCACTGCACCCCTCAGTAAAAATGGAAAATCTTTTGCACCTGGAATATATTCAGTTTTCTGTGCCACTTATGGGTAAAGTTAGACTAATTTAGTTTCTTCTCTCTGTTTGTTCTTGGTATAGTTCTATGTGTTTTGTCCTTTAAAAGAATACCGTAAAAAACTGTATCAGTAGCGTGGTTAGAACATTGCAACAGTTTAATGGTAAACTGTACTCATAGGGGACTGGAAAAGAAGAAAAAATTAGATCCATTTTACCAAATAGTCATGAAAAAGAGAAACTGTATGACCTACAACACTTTTGCATAACTTTATAATGCTGATTATCTGAGATGTTTCTTAATATTCTCTGAATTATTTTCTACTAGGAAATAGCAAAATTCTTTAGCTAACCGAAGTATTACTGAATGAAATGAGGAAAAATCCAAAATCTTCAAAGTTTCTTAATGGATCAAATATTTTAACTTGATATCAAGTCAATAAAAATGTGCTCTTCATTGCACTAAAGTAACTTGTATAATGACACTCTATTCAGCTTTCAACTTCACTGGGTTTAATCACTCCATTAAGGAGAAGAAATGTCTGACTTAATAAGAATGCAGCATCTCACTTTTCAAAGGACTGATATTTTTTCAGTATCTGTTGATTTTATGCCAGTAAGAAGTTAGGGGAGGTTGAGAGGGAGGACTTATCCTTTAGACATGTTTGTTCAAAAGGAAATAAGTTAATGCAGACCCCATTGCATCCTGCTTTTCCTCTGAAATTATTTCATCTCAGGAATTTTTCGAAATCCCAGAGTGCTTGCTTACAAAATAATTTGTGTAATCTAAAGATTTTTGGAAGAAATGCACATCTCAAAATGTCTTGGCATACCTACTTTGTTTTATGATTGCTAGAGTGTGATTTCTGTTACAGTTGTATAGTTTATCACTTTTCTTTTTTACTAGACTTTTCCAGGGCCTTGGAAAACTCAGTAAATTGGGTGAGGGATGGCGTAGTTTAACAGACACTTGGCTTTGTCAGCGTTTAGCCTGGCTGCTTTAAAGGTGAATATGCTACCCTTAAATGGTTACAATCTAATACGCAATAGTTTGCTATCAACGGATTTGCCTTCGGAAGAGGATTGTACTTAAAAATGATTGTTTAAACATTGTCTTACACTTCGTCCAACACAGTTACAGATTACATAAAATGATGTAATTAAGATTCAAAATGGAAAACTGTAGAACAAATAATCTCACTTTGTGAAATTAATTCTTCATATTTTGATGTATTAATTGTACCAGCAAGTTTTCTGAACTGTGTAGTTCAGGTAAAGACAAAATCGTAGTTCATTTTTCTAGAATAAGATATCATTAGTTCAGTTCAAAAATAAAACAAATTCTCCCTTAAACATGTTGTCTGTGGGAAGTAGCACTTTTGAGCAAGCAAATAGATGTATAACTTAATCCTCTCCCTGTAAGCACAGGCACTTCAAACTGTGCTAAATACATGCATTATACAGCTGCATAAAAGTGTTAGCAGCTGGCTGTGCTCTCGCTGGAGAAATGTCATGCTCTCTTCAAGCCTGGGATCGATGGCCACAACAGGCAGGCAAGCATCAGCATAGTTGTAAAAACTGGTTTATTTCTTAAAAATAAATACAAAAATATAAATATAAAACATTGGCAGATAGATTTTGATGAAATGAAGTTGCACAAACTTTTTTTTTTTTTTTAAACCAGCTGCGTATTACACTTATTAACACCACGTGTACATTTTGTTTGAATTTTCATGTACAGAACAGGACATACTGGATTTTTTCTTCTTTGCCTTCTTAAAAGCGGCACTTGCAAGGGCAGGACATGTACCTAACAAAAGCGGCTTGTACATGAGGTTGCTTAAAGGGAGTATCACCCTGTTCAAATTTCTGAAGGTAAGGTACTGTTTGTTTTACTTACTAAAATGGACAACACTGAATTTCCATAGCTTTGGCTCCTGGAAGGTGATTAAATAAAATGCTGTATATATTCCATGTGAGCATCCTACTAGAAAGAATGAATGACATTAATGGACAAACTGGAAACAAATTTTAAAAGGAAACCATTGTGCTGAGTGGCAGGAAAATTCTCCTGAATGTTAAATACCGTTGAGTGCAGACGGTGTCAAACGAACCCAAATGTAGCCTACTGCGGGTTAAGAAGCGTCTTTGTCACTTTCTCCTCCACCATACATTTCAGCGAGCTTATTGAACCGAGGGCCCCACTCTCGGAGGTAATCATAGTTTTGGTCTCCTTCAGTGGTACCCGACTCCAGTGAGCTCAAGGATTCAGCTATAGAATCGTTTCCTTCGTAGGCGTAGGTTGCGAGCGAGTCATACGGTGGCGCAGAAGGGTCAGTGTCATGCTCTTTTAGCCTTTGGTTAATGAAATCTCGGACATCTGTGTTGTCTGGTGCTGAAGGAGTCCTCCGCGGTACAAATAACGTTTCGGGGATAATATCTCGTCGAAGCTTCTTATCTTCGATAGCTGCAGGATTCCTCAGTGTGCCAATATCAAAGGCTTGGGTGTCTTCCTCTCCACCGCCTTCATCGTTATAACTCACAATGTTGTCTCTGATGTCTTCTTTAGACAGGATCAAAGGCTCCTTCTTTCGTTGCCTCTTCAGAGCAGCGAACAGCACCACGATGACTTAGACAGAAAAAGAGAGAACAGGTGAAGATCTCAACTGAACAATTTCGTAGTAGCAAGTCCATCAGAAACAAGAGCTTTATTTCAGATACGTTTCACCCATTCATTTCTGTCTGATACATGGGTAAATATCACTATATGCATTACAGTAGCACAGTCAGGGCCATATCAAAATGTGCTGTTTTGCGCACACATTGTGTGTTGCTTTACGGAACCACAAACTTGTCTATGTGCTCCTTCTGTAACTCTGATTAGCTTTAAAATAGCCAGGGCTATTTTGAGGATATTTTACCTCTTCTGAGCTCAAAGTATACTGTTCAATTGTATTTGAGGTAAGTTACAGTTCATCAAGTGATATTCTGAAAATCACAAAATGGAGGCTTTGCAAATTGACAATATTTTTGATAACAGCATAGAAACCTCTGGATATGCAGTGCTTTAGTATAGTAAAAATATTAATTTGTGGCATTTTCTATGTGAAATATATACTGTGTGTTGACTTTCAATAGCTACTTAAATAAAAAAGAGAGATTCTCTCCTAAAAAAATAAAAAGTTAAGACATGAAAGCGATTTTTGAAAATACTATTCCTCCTCTATGACCCTCTTCTTAAAGAGAACTTAATGAAAGAACAATAATGAGCTGCTGGTTGCACACTGATAATATTTAATAAGCTGGGATATGAATTCTTATTCACAATGTCCAAATTCCCAGAGAAGCTGCTTTCGGTTTTGCATTTTTTTTAAAGTTACTGTTGAAGTCTTCTTGTAAATCACATGATCATTAATTTTACCAACCTGCATGGTTTTGTAAAATGACTCAGGCCTGATGCATTAGTTCATTTGTAGAATGATGCATTTCTTTTTCTTACCCAGCAGGATAATGATGCAGAG